TCTTCCTGCAGGTTCTGCCCATCATTATCTTCTTCAGCTGTGTCATGTCCATTCTCTACCACCTGGGCCTCATGCAGTGGGTGATCCTGAAGGTGAGTCCCAACACCGTGGCCTGGGCTCTCCCAGAGACACCTGCTCCGGGGCTTCACACTCTCCCAGAATGCCTTGCTCCCATGGTTCACACCCTCCCCCAACCCCCTAGCCTTTCTCAAATCTACTGCTAACCAAATATCTTTTCACAGAGTCTGTTGTCATGATACTAGGCAGACATGGCACTACAATCCAGGGTAATCTTTGTGGGAGGGAAGTTTGTAGAATTGAGGGTGCATTGAGAAGAAATGTTAGAGGGGAAAAAAATAATTCATACCAAAAATCTTGTGAGCCTGGAGCAGGGGCCACATTGGACAGACTTAGCTGGTGTAAATGCCAAATCCTGTGCTTATGTTCATAGTATCTGCTGCACAAAATCAGGATGCAGGAGACAGCATTGCACCAGGCCAAAGATTATGAGTTTTTAGCTGATTGAGCTCAGAATAAACCAATACCATCAGGTGACTGCCGGGAATGCAGAAACCGCCTGCGGTTATGTTAAGAGTTCACAGAGTGTAGCATGAGGGAGGCAAAGATACCTCAGTTTGGAGAATGTGTTTCAGCAAGGGGCTATGACAAACTGCACCATCAGAGAGAGAGTGCAGGGCCCAACATACGCTCCACGGACTGGCTGGAGGAGGTAGGGATGATGGGCCTGGGAAAGAGAAGGCCCGGGTGGAAGAGGTTGAGGATAGGATAGCTGTCTCCAAACATGGAGGGAAGGGGCAGTTTAGGAGGTACCAGCAGTGAGGAGAAATTCCAGAGAAGCAGATTTCATCTTGATTGAAAGGAAGAACTTTCTAATATAACGTTTCCAAAGCCTTATTCACGAAACTCTGGTTCCATAGCAGCTTAATAAATGCTACTAGGTAAAGGGATCCCACAGTAAAATGGTTTTGTGTTTTGTGTTTTTTTGATGCTAACAAATTTAAACAAGTCTTGTGCGGGACTTGTCAGAGCCTTTACTGAGCTAATATGTAATAGTTATCTCCAAGGTGTGTGTGTGTGTGTGTGTGTACAGTAATTCTCAATTATATTTGACCAAGGAATCCTTTTTTCATGGATGGTAAGTCCCCATCAATGGAGGTTTGGAAGGGGAAGATGAATGGATCTTTTGGAGGAAATGTAGGGGAAGGGGCTCCTGCGTGGGTTGAGAGTTGGAAGGAAGCCTCGTAAGGTAACTCCTGACTCTCTCTGCCTCTGGGACTTGCTGATGCCAGCCCTGCTTGCTCCTAGATTTCCTGGCTGATGCAGGTCACCATGCGCACCACCGCCCCTGAGACCCTGAGTGTGGCTGGAAACATCTTTGTGAGCCAGGTGGGTCCTGCAACTCCCGCTGTCATGCCTGTCACCAGCCTCCCCATGGAGACCAGCTGTCCTGGGTCCCTGGAGCTCTGATTTAGTCAGTAGAAGAGCCATTAAACCTTCTCCCGGGGTCACCAAAGACGGCTGCCCCAGGGATGCACATCTGGGTCATGCCAGGGAGGATGCTATCTGGCACCTCCTACTGCTCTGGGCCTAGGCTGCCTTCATCAGCTTAGAGACTCACAAATCCTAGAGATGGAATCCAACTTTCCCCTTTTGTACACGAGGAAACCGAGGCTCAAGGGTAGGACTGACTGGCTAAGATCCAACAAGATAAGCCAGGACTTAGAATCCCATTGTTTTTAGATCCTGACCAGGGTTCTTTCTACTGCATCCATTTGTCTTTCTTTTCCCTCTTCCTCTTTCTGAAAATGTATTTTTCATAGTAAGTGTGACTCTGAAAGCACGGTTAGTCCTGAGTCCCTCCCTTTCAGAAGGCCTGACCCTCCTGAGGGCGAGCCTCTGCAGACCATTCCAGGATCCAGGCCCATCTGTCACCAAAAAAAAAATACTTGCCTTTCTTTCTGGCAACCCCCAGGCTTCATTAAAAGCTCAGCCTGGCCGGCATGATTCAATGGTTTAAGCATCAACCTATGAACCAGGAGGTCACATTTCAATTCCCCGTCAGGGCACATGCCCAGTTTGTGGACTCGATCCCAAGTGGGTGATGTGCAGGAGGCAGCCAATCAATGATTCTCTATCATCATTGATGTTTCTCTCTCTCTCTCTCTCTCTCTCTCTCTCTCTCTCTTTTGGCAGGCCCCACCCCCCAGAGGGGACCTCCACCCCGATCTGGGGCCCCCATCAGGGCAGGCCAGCAGGCCCCCACCCATGCACTGGGACTCTATCCTATATAATAAAAGGATAATATGCAAATTGACCCTAATGGCAGAACAACCAGAATGACCGCTTGACCAGTCACTATGAGGTGCACTGACCACCTTTTGGTCCCTTTCCCCAGCCAGCAGGCTCCAATCGCATGCTGGCCACCTGTGGCAGGGGTGAGGCTGGCAACTGGATGGGAAAAGCTGACCTTTTTCATGCACCAGGCCTCTAGTATATTTTAAAAAAACAAAAAGCTCAGACCCGAGTTACATCTGCTCCTGGCCCTTTGCATGAAAAGAGGTCATTCTTTGAACCTCTCTTATCCTCTATTTGCTCTCCTGAAAAAAGGGCATGATGTCTTCCTTCTCAGAAGGTTGTGAGTAATAACTGTGAGGTGCTTGGACGTGGTAGGAGCTCGACACAGAAGCATTATCAGGCCCAGGGGACAGGGCTGGGGGTCCTTGTACAGAGCCAGGCCGACACGGATGTTCAGAGCGATTCAGTCAGGTACAGACCAGTCTTCACCCCACCTGCTGTCTCTTCCCCTGCAACCCCCAGCACTCACTGGGAGCTGCCCACTCTGGTGGGGAGGGAACTCCCCAGGTTCCTGTGCTGGCCCGGCCAGTTCTGTTTGTCTGATACCTTTCCTGCTTGCAGACCGAAGCTCCTCTGCTGATCCGGCCCTACTTGGAGGACATGACGCTCTCTGAAGTCCACGTTGTCATGACGGGAGGCTATGCCACCATTGCCGGCTCCCTGCTGGGTGCCTACATCTCCTTTGGGGTATGAACACCCTCCTGAAAGGGAGTGTAATTTGCTGCCAGTTTTAAAATACTTTCCCTTGATCCAGTTAGGCATATCGGGATACAGAAATATTTTCACAAGTGGTCAAATACACAAAATTCTATTATTATTTGCAATAGAAGAACAAAACAAAACAAGAAACAACCTAAATGTCAAGCAGCGAGGGGATGAGTTGGGTAAATTTATCCATACAATGCCATGCCACAAGCCCCTAGAGCAGCGGTTCTCAACCTGTGGGTCGCGACCCCTTTGGCGGTTGAACGACCCTTTCACAGGGGTCGCCTAAGACCATCCTGCATATCAGATATTTACATTATGATTCATAACAGTAGCAACATTACAGTGATGAAGTAGCCACGAAAATAATGTTATGGTTGGGTCACAACACGAGGAACTGTATTTAAAGGCCAGAAGGTTGAGAACCACTGCCCTAGAGTGAGGTGGGCCGTGGTCTGCCTTTCACTGTCCCTGATGCTGTGTATGTATGCGTCGAGGGATGACAGAATGACCCCCACTGTCCTCTTCTCTGGTCCCAAATTCCACCTCTCATCTCTGTCCTTGGGGGTGGCCAAGGGACAAGCCAGACTGCCCCTCAGCACTTTCTCCCTCAGGGCACTGGGCTGCACTGGTCAGCTCAGCTCCACACCCCACAGAGCGGCCTGGGCAGAGAGGTGGCTCTGTGACCTCAAGAAGTTCTCTTGTCTTTGTCTTCTGCCTGGCACCCTCCCATCTAGAATTTTCGAGGTCACCTGCTTCACACTGAGGCTTAGGGAAGGTCCATCAGAGCTGGTGCACCCCCCACCCACTCCACCTCCAATTGATTTAGGAAGGTGTTTGATATTTCAAAACTGGAAACTCGAAACTGTTCCCGAAGCTTTTTTTCATGGTGGCGTATTAGGGGCGGGAATGCCATAATATTTTCAGGACTTAGGGCCTTTGACTGTCTTACCCTGGTTCTAGGTCTCGCAGCCAGTTAAAAGAATGGCCTTCTTTCTGCTGCATCCATGTGGCTGCCCTTACTTCAGGCTAAAATCCTGGAAGAACTCTGTCCCTTTTCCACAACCTGCCTTACAGCTCATCCTGCTCTCCTTCCCCTTCTCGGGCAGGAGTCCAGGGCGGCCCCAGGCAGCAGGAGCCTGCGTGCCCACTTGCCTGTAGCTCTGCAGAATGTGCAGAGGCTGCCAGGACCAGCCAGATGACCAGGGTCTCCATTCACAGCCTTTATCTGGCAGCCCCCAGGCTACCGCCCAGCTGGCCCAGGTGAAAAGCACCTACTAGAGAAGTCTGGTATCAGAGAAGCTCTCTTCTGCCCCCACCTGGCTCTTGGCCGCCACTGCAGCAGCCTCGGACCTTCTCCCACAGCCCTGCCTTCTTCCCACCCTCTCCCCTCTCCTTTCACTCCCTCCTCAAGGCACTTCCTCACTGTATCCTTGCTCTGCCTCAGCCTCTGACTTACAGGAAGATCCCTCTTGTTCTCTCCTCCTTTTTCATTGTTGCTCAGCTTCTGGATCCCTCAACCCTAACCGGTTTGGCTCAGTGGATAGAGCACTGGCCTGCAGATTGAAGAGTCCAGGTTTGATTCCAGTCAAAGATACATACCCAGGTTTCGGGCTCAATCCCCAGTAGGGGGCGTGCAGAAGGCAGCCGATCAATGATTCTTTCTCATCACTGATGTTTTTATCTCCCCCTCCCTCTCCCTTCCTCTCTCAAATCAATAAAAATATATTAAGAAGAGATCTTATATAGGGAGGACACTCCTACAGTCCGAGGTTGAATTAGGTCACCTCTTGGATCCATTTCAACTCTCAAGTTCTGTGAACTTTGTCTGAAACCATCACAAACCCCTCCACCAGTGGCCAACCAGTCCTTGTATTAATGGTCAAAGGGAGACAGCTCAGAAGAGAAGGATGAAGTTTGAACTTTGAGCCAAAAGGCCTCATGGGTTCTAATTCTTTGTCTTCCTCTATATTGGGCAAGTCAGACTTAATCCTTTGGGGACTCAGTTTCCTTCTTTATAAAATGGGGTAACACTACAGTTGTCTCTTGAACAGCATGAGTTTGAACAGTCTGGACCCACTTTTACAGGGATATTATTCAGTAAGTACTATATTTTCCCTTTTTCATGATTTTCTTTTCTCTATTGTAAGGATACAACATACAAAATATGTGTTAATTGACTGGTATTGGTAAGGCTTCTGGTCAACAGCAGGTTATGAGTAGTTAACTTTCGGAGGAGCCAGAAGTTATATGCAGATTTTTGACTATTTTTGACTGGTGTTCGGTGTCCCTGACCCCTGCTTTCTCAAGGGTCAACTGTACTCATCCGCCTGAGTTACAGACACTCTGGGGGAAATATGAGCTTTGTACTATAGCCTGGGGCCCGCTGCACATAAAGGGAATTATAATGGACAAAGGTGGCAGTAGTTCTGACAATAATGACAGCCCAGTGGGGCTGAGTACAGTGGCCCCTGCTGCCCTGGGCCGCACTGCTTGGCCCCCACATCCTCCTGTAACCCCCATCTCCCTCTTGCAGATCGACGCCGCCTCTTTGATTGCTGCCTCTGTGATGGCCGCCCCGTGCGCGTTGGCCCTCTCCAAGCTGGTCTACCCGGAGGTAGAGGAGTCCAAGTTCAGGAACAAGGAAGGAGTGCAGCTAAGCTCCGGGTGAGCACAGCCGGACTCATGCTGGTGGGGAGGTGGGGACAGGAGCAGAGGCAGGAGACAGCAGTGGGTCCCGTGTTCCCTGCCCTTCCACCAAGCCCAGGCTCACCTCTTGCCTTAAACTGCCCTCTTTGTGGCTTCGCTCAGAAAAACGCGAACTCCAGTTCTTGCATCTTAATTTCCATCTTGGAACAGCAGGAAACAATGGGCTGGTCAAGGCATGGGAGGGTAGCCTGGGTCTTGTGTGGTGAGGAGGGTCTTGCTACCTTCTCCACAAACCTTGAGCTCTGACCACCAGTGTGTCAATCACATATTTACTTACTGAGCACTGTCCTGGATCTCACTCTCCTCCTAACATCTCTTCATCATGTTCCTAGCAGCTGCTGAGTAACATCTATCCTTTAAAAAAGTTGAAAAGGGTCCTAGCCAGTTTGGCACGGTGGATAGAGCGCTGGCCTGCAGCCTGAAGGATCCTGGCTTCTATTCCGGTCAAGGGCACATACCCAGGTTGTGGGCTCGATCCCCAGTAGGGGGCCTGCAGGAGCCAGCCAATCAATGATTGTTTTTCATCACTGATGTTTCTATCTCTCTCTCGCTCTCCCTTCCTCTCTGAAATCCATCAAAATATATTTTAAAAATAAGTAAAAATCTTGAAAAGTTACCACTTTTGACAAATGAGCGTGGGGATACAGTATGCTCACAACGCCCTGAAGGTCGAGAGCAGCACTGCCCTATAGAAATATGATCTAGAATTTTCTAGTCGCTGTCTTTTAAAAAGTAAAAAGAAGCAGGAGAGTTTCATAAAATACTTTATTAACCCAATATATCCAAAATATTATCTTCTCAACATTTTTATAAAATGATTTGTTTTCATATTGAATTTTTTGGTACTAAATCTCTAAAAACCTAGTGTGTGATTTCCACTTACCACACACCTCAGCTCTGAGCAGTCTCCTTTCAGGTGCTCCGAAGCCACATGTGGCTCGTGGCTCCTGTCGTGGGCTGCTCTGCCCTGGAAACCTGGGTCTCCTTCTGGTGTTGGGACCAGCCCTTCTCTGTGTGTGTGTGTCAAAGGGAAAAAACAAGGACCTTCGGCTCTGAACTACATTGTCCAGGGTTCTTCTCTGACCCCATAGGACAGTGATGGCGAACCTATGACATGCGTGTCAGAGGTGACACGCAAACTCACTTTTTTGGTTGATTTTTCTTTGTTAAATGGCATTTAAATATATAAAATAAATATCAAAAATATAAATCTTTGTTTTACTATGGTTGCAAATATCAAAAAATTTCTATATGTGACACGGCACCAGAGCTAAGTTAAGGTTTTTCAAAATGCTGACACGCCGAGCTCAAAAGATTCGCCATCACTGCCATAGGATGAGCGGCCTCGCTGTGTGTGGGGTCAGGCCAATAAGATGACTCTTGATCCCAACAACAGAGATGCTCAGAACATCTTAGAAGCCGCCAGCAGCGGGGCCGCCATCTCTGTGAACGTCATTGCCAACATCGTGGCCAACCTGATCGCCTTCCTGGCCGTGCTGGACTTCATCAATGCTACCTTCTCCTGGCTGGGGAACATGGTGAACATCCAGGGGCTCAGCTTTCAGGTACAGCCCCGGCCAACCCGCACGGCCTGGGGAGGGGGCAGTCCTGGGCAGTGGGTGGTGGTGGACATTCAGCAGGGCCCAGGCCAGCCTGGGTCCCAGCAGCTCCCCTTGCCTTGTGTCTCAGCTCATCTGCTCCTACATCCTGCGGCCGGTGGCTTTCTTAATGGGAGTGGCCTGGGAGGACTGCCCGGTGGTGTCCGAGCTGCTGGGGATCAAGCTGTTTCTGAATGAGTTTGTGGCCTATGAGAAGCTCTCCAAGTACAAGCACCGCCGCCTTACTGGGGTGGAGGAGTGGATCAATGGCGAGAAGCAATGGATCTCCGTGAGTGTCCGGTCCCCTCCCTGAGGCAGGAGCATGACCCAGCTGCTCTTCCTGCTCCCTGGGCCCTGCATTCCACCTCCCACATCCTACTGCCCTGGGCCCAAGATGACTTTGGGCCTCACAGCCATCACCTTGGGTGCCTCAGGAGGCGGAGGTGCGGGGAAGGAGCCTTGTGGGAGATGTGGGAGATCTGGCCGTAGATGGGCTACCATCCTGTGTGGCCTTGGGCCAGCCACTGCTCCTTGCCTCTCTAGAAAAACTGGTGTAACACCTGCTATATCTACCCCGAAGGAATAGGTATGAGCCTCCAGTGAGCCCTGAGGGTGAAGTAGGGAGACCTTACCACTATAGCCGCTGTCAGTACATTGCATTCAGTTCAGGGGTTGGCTCTTTCTGTTAAAATTTATTTTTAAAACTATAAAAGCTATAAAATGAACCTTTGTAAAAGAATTCAAGCTCCATGTAACATCATCAGGAATGAAAAAGTTACCAATCTCACACCAGCCTAAACTAATAGCTATTGTTGTATACAGTTTCTTCTATTCTTTTAAAGATAATTTGTATAGTTTTCATTTTAGTATTCAAAGTCTATTGTAGCCAGCTTTTCTCACCTACTATTATGACATAAGCATCATTTAAAAAGTATACTATATATATTTTTGTATTGATTTCAGAGAGGAAGGGAGAGGGAGACAGAGATAGAAACATCAGTGAGGAAAGAGAATCATCGATTGGCTGCCTCCTGCACACCACCACTGGGGATCAAGCCCCACAACCTGGACCCATGCCCTGACCCTGGAATAGAAACCTGACCTCCTGATGCATAGGTCTGCCTCCTGCACACCCACCACTTGGAATGGAGCCCACAACCCAGGCATGTGCCCTTGACTGGAATTGAGTTAGGGACCCTTCAGTCCACAGGCCGACACTCTATCCACTGAGCCAAACCAGCTAGGGCTAAGCTTCATTTTTGATATCTGTATTCTCACACATTACACATATCAAAAATGATATTGATTTATCATCAGTTCAGGTGAATTCCGTTATTTGGCAATCATGCACAATGCTGAAGGGGATAGGTTTGTTTACAGAACTTTTCCCTGCTCTCGGATCATTCCCTCAGGAGCTTTTCCAGATGTGGGATGACTCAGTCAAAGGGCGTGAGTCCTGTGGTTGCTGCCAGTAACTTCCCAAAGGGTTGTAGCAACTGAAATCACCCCCAGCTGTGCCTGTGAGCAATGCCTTCACCACACACTGAGCAGCAGTTGAATGGGCAAATAATAGCTCATGGTGTTCATTTATGTTTCTTGGGTTACTAGGAACTTTTAACATGAAATATTCTTTTTGTCTTTTAATTGTAAAGGAATGTACTCTTTTTTTAAAAAAGTTTATATGGAGTAAAAGCACAGTTTCCCTCTCACTCCTCATCCTCAGCTCCTCTCTCACTCTCTTCTGTAGAGATAGTGGATGGTACATTCCTTCAGGACCATTTTAAAAAATCCTTACCCGAAGATATGTTTATTGATTTTTTGAGAGAGAAAGGGAGGGAGAGAAACATCGATGTGAGAGAGAAACATTGATCTGTTACCCCTACACACACACTCCCCCTGACCGGGGATCGAACCTGCAACCTTTTGGTGTATGGTAAGTATGTACCCTGGTCGGGAATCAAACCCACAACCGCTCAGTGTATGGGACGATGCTCCAACCAACTGAGCCACCCAGCCAGAGCAGGGTCACTTTTTCATGAACTTCATTCCTTCAGCAAGTATTTGTTGAGACTTCTGAGGTGCCATGCATTCTGTGAGGTACCAGGAATAGAAAGGGAAGTCAGACAGATCCTGGTGTCATGGAACTTACATCTAGTGAAGAATACAGGTAAAACAAAAGAAAGCAAAAGAATAAAAAATAAAATAACGACAATTCGTGGTTTTATGAAGGAGACACCAGGAGGAATTGGGGGAGAGAGGGAGGTCTTTGTTGGCTGTTCAGGAAAGGACTCTCTGCAATATGGAATTTAGGCCAAGACTTGGAGGGAGGAGAGTGGGCCAGGAGAAGCTGGGCAAAGCATTCCTGGGAAAGAGGTATGTGCAAAGGCCCTGAGGTTGAAAAGCACTTGTTTAGAGAACCGAGAGGAGAGAGTGCAGGTAGAGAAGGTGGTAATCATAAAAGACAGTGGCACAGGCCAAGGAGCAGTAGGATATTACTGACAATTTGACATTTCACATTTTAAGAGTACTTGGGCTGCTATATGGAGGGTGACTATAGGTGAGCAAGCAGGATTCAGGAGTCTTAATATTTATTATTTTTTAAGTCTGTTTTTTAAAAAGTACATATGAATATATATATGTATATGTATATATATGTGTATATACATACACACACACACACACATATATATATTGATTTCAAAGAGGAAGGGAAAGTAATTTTGATTTGTTCACACTGTATGGTTACTGTTGTGTTGAATGTTGTTTTTATTTGACAATCTAAGGAAAAAGAGGCCAGTGCCCCTAACTAGTCAGGTATTGCATTCAAAAGGTTCGCCATCACTGACTGCTAGGGCTATATTTTTTATATTAATTTTAATAAACTCTTTATGGTATAAAGACATTAACCATTTTCTGTTACATTGTCTGCATATATTTTCCTCCCCCCCACCACCACTTTATTTTGTATTCAGTGATTTTTCTTTTACCACACATTTTACACCAAATCTTTTCCTTTGGGATTTCTTCTAGTAATTCTAAACTTAGACAGTTCTCTCCATTCCAGAAATCTGCTAAGTGTTAAATTTCTGGAACATCATGGTGTTGTTAAAAGCATGAGCTTTGAAGGCAGAACTGAGTTCAAAATCTGACACAGCCGCATTCTTGCTGTGTGAACTTCCCCAGTTACCTAACCACTCTGAACCTCAGCTTTCCCTTCTCCAAAATGAGAGTAATAACACTACATTGTAACTATAATAATTATCCTATATTTTGCATTATTTGCTGTTTAAAATATCAATATTTGTCTACTCCAATGATCTAGAATTTATTTTTTTATATGATATGAAGTATGGGTCTAAGCTAATCCCTGCCCCCTCCTCTCAAATTGTTGCATTTTGACTCAAAACACCTCTTTCCGGAAAATTAAGTAACTGTGCAGAGCAAAAGAGAAGAATTACTTTGCTTAAACTTGTACCATGTGCCTGGTATTTCCCATAGATGGTACGATCCTTGCAATAGCCCTCCAAGCTGGTACTGTCTTCCCCACCCTCCAGACGGAGGAATGAAAACATAAAGAGGCTATTGACTTGCTCAACTTGATCATACCTGGGGACAAGCCTGGAACCCAAGTTGGTTGGGTTCCGCGTCCCTCATTCTCTTCACGAGGCCACAATCCCTCCACCCTCAGAGTTCTCAGCAGAAGAGCCCACAGGAGTCAGGAGCACAAGACTGTGGAGTGTTGGGAAGGGGCCAGTCACCCAAGTGCCCCCTGGGTGCAGAGCTTGGTAGGACTGAGCCTGTCTGAATCACATCCAGAAGGGCTGGTGATTAAACTGAGCAGAGCGAAGGGCGCCTGAGGTGGTGCAGTTTGACCTGACTTAGAGTTGGGTGTGCAAGACCTGGCGGGGCAGCACCGAGTGTTCCCAAGGTCAAAGACACAGAACAGCCCAGCAGGTGTAACTCAGTGGCTGAGCATCCACCTATGAATGAGGAGGTCGAGGTTCCATTCCTGGTAGGGGCACATGCCAGGGTTATGGGTTCAATCCCCAGTGTAGGGTGTACAGGAGGCAGCCAATCAATGATTCTGTCTCATCATTGACGTTTTTATCTCTCTGTCTCCCTTCCTCTTTGAAATCAATAAAAATATATCTTTAAAAAACACACAGAGCAAGTGGGTGTTGTGAAGGCCAGGGAGCCGGGTGGTGTAGGGTGCTCCCGTCCCGTCTGAGGGAGCCCCTCCTCACTCATCCTCTGTAATTCCAGGTCCGAGCAGAAATCCTCACGACATACGCCCTGTGTGGATTTGCCAACCTCAGCTCCATTGGCATCATGCTGGGAGGCCTGGGTGAGTCTTGGGGGGCATCCTGGGCGTCCTGGACTGTCGGGGACCTGGCCTCTAGTCCTGGCTATGAAACAACTTCCTGGGGACCTGTAGGTCTCAGTTTCCCGCCTTTGTCTAAGGCGAGGCCTAAATGAGATGGCCATGGAGGTTCCTCCCAGCCCAAGAATTCCATGATTTCTTGGCTTCTGGGTGCGGCCAGACCGAGCCTGGCTCTGGGATCTGGGGAGGGACCGGAAGCACGGTGCTGGTCTCTCCCCTGAGACCCTGGCCTGCCATTTCCCACTCCCAGTGGACAGGCAGGCCTTGGGCACCCAGGGAAGCAGGCTCTGCCCAGCTCTCAGCTCTCTGCAGAAACCCCTTCCTTCCACTCTTCGCAGTCCCCCTGCCTGCACTTGTAACCACCCCATTTTACAGAGGAGGACACGGATTCGTGGAGAAGTGAAGTGACAGCCTAAGTCACACAGCTGGCCAATGGCTAGGCCTGTATTTAATCCCAGGTCCGCCTGCCTCCAGACTCTGGTGATGTGTGTGGAGACGTGTGGGGTGCTACCTAGTGGCCAAGTCAGGCCAAGGACTCCCAAACTCAGCCAGTGCCAGGAGGACAGTGTCCATCCCTGGCCACCTAGAAGAGAAAGGGGAGTCAGCAGCTGCAGCAGCGGTGCAGAGCGTGGGCAGAGAGGCCCTCGGCGCCCTGGCCCTGAGCATTCCTGTCCCCTTGCAGCCTCCATGGTCCCCCAACGGACTAGCGACTTCTCCTCGACTTCTCCCAGATTGTTCTGCGGGCACTCTTCACAGGGGCCTGTGTGTCCCTGATGAACGCCTGTGTGGCAGGTGAGTCCCTGCCTGGCAGAGCCCTGATTTCTCGCTGGGCTGGTCATTGGGGCTCTGGACTCTTCGGAAGTCCCTGAGGGTGGGAAGTGAGGGGATAGACCCTGCTTGCCATCTGCTTTCTCTGCGCAGGGATCCTCTATGTGCCCAGGGAGGCGGAGGTCAACTGTACAAGCCTCCTGAACACAACCCTCACCAGCACCAGCTTTGATGTGTACCAGTGCTGCCGCAAGGCCTTTCAGAGGTGAGGGCCAGGGGATGCCATGGGCACCTGGGCAAGGAATAGGAAGGTCATGGCCGTGGTTGATGTGGCCAGGGGAGGAGGACGTGGGGCTTGAGGACCAAATTGGGGAAGAAAGTTGGACCAGAGACATGGAGCAACTTTTTCAGGGTTGCACACCCTTGTAGGGGCCAGCAGAGCCAGTGCTGGGGGTCAGACAAGCTTTTGCTTTCTTTCAGCACCAGCCCGGAGTTCAGCCTGGACAACTGCTGCCGATTTTACAACAACACAATCTGTCCATAGTGGGGCAGCATGACTCGGTGCCTTCTGGGGGCTGTTCTTCCCCAGGAGGCAGCTGACCCCACCTTTCCCTCTCCAGGCCTGTCCTCGGGGAAGCCCGCTGGGAGGGAGCAGTGGCGTGAGTGGGCGGAGGCTGCCTTCTCTGTTCTCTCCTCCACATCCAACAGCACCCTGGTCTTTTTAGTCCCTTCCTACCATGGATCTCTCCCACACACCCTTTCCTTCGCTTATGGCCCCTCGCCCGTGGCATCCAGGCCCCCTCCTTCCCTCTTCTCTGGCACTTGGGGCTTACTGAGGCTTACCCCTGCTCATGGTTTCTCCTGAAGGCCCCTTCCCCTGCTTCCACAGACTCTCCACTGCCTTCCTTCATTGCACTTCCCAAACTGGGGTCCCGTGGAACACTCCCACAATATGTCCAGAACTTCCATGGTCCACTAGGTTCGGGAAACACTAGGCTAAATAAAGTTAGACAGGTTGTTTTGTTTTTTTAATTGTTTTATTGCTTAAGGCATTACAAAGAGTTATTATATATATGTATATATATCTCCTTTTTTTTTTTCTCCCCTTGACCTTCCCCTAGCCTCCCATCCCCCCCCGGGTCTTGTGTCCATTGG